AAACAACTTTTAAAAATTCTTTCTGGGCTTCCCTGGTGGCGCAGTGGTTGAGAGTCCGCCTGCCGATGCAGGGGACACGGGTTCGTGTCCCGGTCCGGGAGGATCCCACATGCCGCGGAGCGGCTGGACCCGTGAGCCATGGCCGCTGAGCCTGCGCGTCCGGAGCCTGTGCTCCGCAACGGGAGAGGTCACAACAGTGAGAGGCCCGCGTACCGCAAAAAAAAAAAAAATTCTTTCTAAGTTTTCTGCATCACAGTAGATTGCCCTACTCAAACACATATTGCAGATTTCTTGCTTATGTTGCTTTCAGTATTTGGAACAAAATGTGTTTTAGTTTCTCTCTAATTCTTATAACTAGAAATCAAATATTAATGTTGAAAAGGAAATATTCAATTTCATTCTTTACCGCTGCATGAATGGACTTTAATAATTTCCTAAAACATATTTATCAGTGTCCAATTCTATTACCCACAGAGTTAGTATTTTAACCCAGGATAAATATTTCATTATTTATACATTTTATACTTTATTTTTGATTTTTTTCCCTGGAACATGAAATTTTAGAAATGCTGATTAGTTTATTGCAGAATTTCTTGTTTTGTTGGACAATGCTAATTTTAACAATTTGGAGTGAAGTAGAGGATGGTAGAAATTTGTTAAATTGTATTATATCACAACATATTTTAATGTAGTTTATTAAATACATGGTAAAATAACTCCTTGTGTAGCTTAGATTTTCCCTAAAAGCAATTTATAAAATTATTTCAAGGCATTAAACAAAACTTCCTTAGATGTTATATAAAATGATACTTGCACCATGGTTTTCAAACATATGGGATTTGCTATTTTGATTCCAAAGCATTATTTTTGGCTATGGTATGTTAATAAAGTGCTCTGTAACTGAAAACAAACGAATAGGCAAACATAATCCTTAATGCATAAGCTAACATCCAAGATACAGCTTTTCCTGAAACATTACGATGCCTATCACTTAGTTCAAAAAAAAAAGTGAAATAAATTTTTAACCACAGAATATTATATTTTGTCCATCAGGTATCCCAATGTCTTTATTTTAAAGATGTTGAGTGACTTCCTCAAGCTTATATAACTAGTTTGTGGCAGAGTCAGAATAAGACCCCTAGGTTTAATTCACTTTTGCTTTTTACTATTCCATTCTCGAACTATTTAAAACAGAATTATAAAAAAAAATTAATTACCTACTGGAAAAGAGAACCTTATATAAGATATTAACCTACAACGAAGGAAGTGATTACAACGCTATATACTAATATTCATCTAAGATAGCAAAGCAATGGCATTTACCTTAAATTTACGTCTCTGCTCTGCACAGCTGTTGAAGAACCACAAGTCTGTCTCATGGCTGTAAATGTAACAAGAACAATAATGCGACCAATTTTCATACCTAAACTAAATTAAGTAGATTTGTCATAGGCTAGAAAATTGATAATGTATTTTACAAAAAGTTTTAAAATTATAGATTATGGAAGTGTGCATGTATGTGTATGTAAATGTATTTGTGTGTGTGTGTGTACATATGTGTGTGTGAACTTACTCTTTTTAATAACCTGGAAATTAGTTTCATGAAATTGAAAGCATTACATATTCTCTTTGGCTAACTTTTCTCATTACTGAACGCTATGGGTATATCAAGTCTAGAAGTGCCAGGAGTAGATACAGATAAATAAAACAAACTAAAATGAGAGGCTGTCTTCAGCTGTTATTATTAGTTACGTTTTTCTGGGATACATAGTAAGAACGTAAAGAAGGAACATCTTGTAACGCTTAGTTTAATATCAGCTCCCATTTGCATCACAATCTTTGTATATTATTCATCAATATGTCATTAATCAATGTACCTACTGATTGGACCTATTCAATTGGTGCTTCATGTAATGAACAGAATATGTGAACAAGTTTCAAAGATATATTCAGATATCTATACATGAAAGTGAAATCACTACTACAATCGGTACTCAAGCTTGTCAGATGTGATTTTCTTCTTTCCATTTTGCACTAGATATGCTACTATCTAAGCTATCTGTAGTACAAGAACCTGAAAAAGTGTAAATGAAAAATACCTGAAAAGTTAAATATTAGTCTGCTAGAAATATTCTCTCTACCATGTCACACCTCAAATCTGGCCACCACTTTTAAACATTTAAAAGAAATTCAGTTGAATATAACAAAGCAACTGAATATTGTTCTTGTGACTTGAGCCATTAAAACAGATTTTTTAAGGAAATCTGTATTTTCTTTCAAATGTTATAAAATAGTTCTCCATCAAAACTATATTTTAAAATGAAAACCACATAGTATCTCTTCTGGTCTTCTAAAAATATGTTATGCCTGATAAAGTACAAGCCACCATGATCTATTAACACCAAATACTTTGCCGTGAAAGTATAGCTTTTGAAACATTTTCAACTTTCTTTTTTTAATTCTAAAAGATAATCTACACCAACTCTATTATGAAAGGTTGGTTAAACTCTTAGGTAAGTAGAAAAAGAAGTCGGCTGTGAGAGAATCATAGAAGTTAAGTGTTACTTTCATATTAAATGGTTAAAATTTTTAACAAAGATATTCTACCCTTTTCTTTAACATAAGTGGCAAATAGTGCAACTCATGTTAAATAGTATTTGCAGATGCAAAGATAAGCATTACCTAATATTCCCCTTTGACAACATGTGTAAGCTAGTATAAAATGCTATCAGGTTGCTATTAGACTTTCAATACAATCCCAGCATGTTTCCAGTTGCTAAGCTTATCAAGTACTATGAAACACTAAGACTGTAGACTCATATTAATTGCAGTGTATATTTTGGTGAACAAATAAGTCTTCATTCATTATTTCTAAATTCTTATTCATAAAAACCAACCAACTTTTCATTCCTATGACATTTTGGCATTAGATCCCACTAAAATTACAAAGTAATAATAAAATGCTACAGTTTTATAATATGTACAATGGATATGTATTCATAATAATCTGAGTCACAAAGCACTAAATGTAAGTGACACAATGGAAGTTTGTGGTAATGGTTAGCCACTGAAATTGTTAAAAGGTATTTATAGTACTATTAATCACCCTTTGGTGATAAAATAACAAAATTGAGGAGTTCTGCTCAAACTTTTATATAACAACATTTGGTACGTGAGCAACAATTTCTTATTTTAGAGTCATTAGTATTTCCACATTATATGTGTGTGTGTTTTCCAAGAAAAATTATGTATATTTTAGTTGAACGAAGTATCACATTTTTGCCTTCCAATACAACAAAAAAGGAAAGTAGAAAAGCTAAAGCCCAGCCATTCTTTCCAGAGATACCCTGGTAACCAGCAATAAAGAAACTTCTACTGGACTTAGCTTTGGAGAGGAACAACTTATTATTTTGTCTATTTTGTCATGAGATATGATAAAAACAGAATTAGGACAATATACAGTGTTTTTCAGGTATTTGAAACAATAAACTCTTCCCTACCTTTGGCTTATGCTGCCAGCATCTAAATCTCCTTTGCTATACCAACAAGAAAGCAAAATTCCCAGCCTGAAGCCATAGTGAGGATAAACATTTCATTTGCTATCTGTGACTTCTATGTAAATTTCTCTCTGTCATGTAAATGTATGGAGAGGCTCTCATGGCATCAGATAATTCAATGGAAATACTCCAACCACCGTTATCACTTGTTATTACTCGGGCAGGGATATGACAGTGAGGAAAGTTTGTCACTACAGAATTACTGACTAGTTAAAACAAAGAATGTGAAATTTATTTTAAAAAAGAAAAAAATTAAAATGAATCTTAAACTTAGGCTGATTCAATATAACTTTCATTTGCAATCATGGCAGACATCGGTACGTCACATCCCCTATCCCCAGGACCCCTTCTTCCCATCCACCCCACAAAAATGGGTTTGTTCCCAAGAATATATATTCTCATCTCATATTTGCCTAGGGACTATGCATTTAATTCAGTTTTTAGGTAATGAGTAGCTTCTGGATTGTGTAGATCAGTAGCCAATAATTCTGTTACACAAACTAAGTTTCAGTAGGGCACCATGTAAGACTTAGTTACTAGCATCTGAGAGTACACCTGAAAATGAAAACAGAAACCTAGGCCATAAAAATTTTTTTTTCAAGATTGTTTTGTTAAAATAAAACAATAAGAAAGATGCTGACTTTTTTAAAAAAACTAAGCTTGTCTTATTAGACGTGTACATAACACATGATTCAAAAAGGAAGCATTGCTTATCTTTCAACAGAACTGATAAACATTTTGAATAATGTTTTATACAATTCCAGATTCTACCTTCCAAACTTTTAAAAAGTACCCTATAAAAATGTTTCTTTCCCCTAATGTCCTATATATTTTGGTTAAAGCTATATAAAACAATGGTTGTATTATGTAACAAAAAGTTACTTTAAAAGACATACATACTATCAGTTTCACAGGACAAACATAGTGAATAAGGACAACAAACTCCAGAATGTGTTTTTATAACTGTGGCAACAGCAATAACTCCTTGGCAAACTCACACAGTTTTTTTGGCAACCCTGGAGGTTTTCTGCATTTGTCACTTGGATACAACTGCAAAAGGGTTGTCTAAGACTGCTTTGTTTCTTCCCTACCATTTTACTATAACTTTGCTTTTAAGGAAGACATTTCACATTTTAACCTGTTTGTGAATAAAATTTCATTAAAATCCCACAAGGGAGTTTTATACAAAACTCCTAATGCCTATGTATACCAAATGTCCCTACACAACTTGTCCAAAAAGTGACCTTGTAAACTTTTGAAATCTACGCTAATAGATTATTTTTTCTCTTTCAAGAAGATGAAATGAGTTCTCTTTTTGAATTAAAATTACTTACATATGCAAATGTAATAATTTTCTGTATGTATACAACTGGGTCTGCACATCTGTAATCATTACAAACGTCTTTTAAAGTAAGATCCCAAGGATAGGAATGCTTTACTAAC